TCAGTGATTAGCTGAAAGTCAGCTGATTGCTCAAGGTGCAGTATCCCCTGATTATTATTTTCTGTGATTTTGGTACTGACATTGGTAGATTCATTCGGTATACATGTACAGTAGAACGTTGAATATCCGTACTTACTTAATTTACAGGCTCACGTACACACAAATTCTAACGCACTTGACTGTAATGAAATCAAGCAATAGTACATGTAGAGTACGTCATTATAACATTTTTATTTAATCAGTAACACATTGTAATAAAAATGTTGCACGCTGGAATGTTAAAAAATGTTTCAAAATGTCCGTAAAATGTAGCGATAATAAAGTTCTTTTGCTTCTTTCTTGGGAAAATAAAGTCCCGGAACAAAGTGAAGACGAATTTCTCTAAACGATCGTCATTGGCTGTTTTCATTATCTTTCGTTTCAGTCCTATACTTGAAGCCATTTTACTGGAAAAATCCAGCAGCTTTTTTTTTGCCTTGATATCGGATATCGTCGATTTAGCAACACATTACTCGGTAGATAGATTGCTTGCCGTTTCGCCACGTTCTAGTCGATTTATAAATCAAGCACACATCGTTTGCGTTTCACTGGGGGGTAGCCATGCCAACACTAGATAAAAGACGCTGATAAAGTAAACAGGTGAAAGGTCGCTGTGTATAGATCGGCTCAATGTTACCAGATTGCTCATGGATTTTTGAATGGTAAACTGCTACAAGATGTCCCGATTTTATTGGATTCAGCAAAGTTTTTAACACCTAGAACGATTGACATAATAATTTGTTGTAAAAATCCTGGTTGGCTACTGTGATCACCAGACGTAAACACTTTGACGCTGAGAACCATCAAACGGCCCGCCGACTGTGGTCATTGGTTGCCGTTGTCTGCTGATAAACCATCAAAGAGGCACACCAAGGTTTTGTCATTTCGTCACTCTTTTTCACTGCACTATTAAACTGGCGTCGCTTCTGTGGCAAGACATCCCAGAAGTTATTTTCTTTCTTTTTTTATTCCGAAAAGGATGTTACTTCTGATACTAGACATTAAATTTAAAAATTGGAAAAAACATGGGATCGGCTCATGGCCGCGTTTCTTTGACGGCAGTGGAACCCCGTTCAATTTTCCGAGCTGCGGTGACTTACAACTTGGTAAAGTTAAGGATCTGACTGTAAACAGTGGAGAAGACATTTGATGAAGTTTGTGTTTTTAGGAATTTTTTTATTTTACAGTGGAACACTGGCGTTGCATAATAGGCTTGTCTGAATTTAGGAAATTATTGGATACTGTAATTCGTGTCATTGTTTGCGCAGACACTGTAAACAATGAACGTACACGTGAAAGACGTCGGATTACATGTTGACAATAGCTTTATTGAAAGTGTTGCACCAGGAAATCACACAAGACGACTGTAGTATTTATTGTTCACAGTTGACTTTTGTATTATACGGAACACAGCCAGACCTGCATACAAACTTTGGGGGGACACACAGTAGGTTCGGATAACCGAACATTTCGGATAATCGACGTCCGGATAATCAACGTCTACTGTACTGTGAATTGTGCAAATTTGAATGGAATAAACTTAGCGATTGGAAAGAATGGTTATTAATGTATCCCCAGGTGCTATAGAAATTTTTATTTTACAATTTAAGGTAATTCCTACCCTAAGTTATGTGTGAAGTGCACATGTCAGAATAAAATATCATGAGTGAATCCTAACTTCAAACAAAAGTATCAGCATTGATTACACAAGTTTTAAATATTATTTCATCCCAGCAGATTAACAAGATGGCTTATATTGAGGATGACTTGGAGAGACTACATACAAAACTACGCATTAAAGAGATTCTTTTTTGCAAGGTATGGTTTGGATATTTTCTTTACTTGTATCAGATTTCCACAGCTCAAAGTTTTATAGTTTCTGCTTTCATATCAAGATGTTTGAAGAGCTGCACTATTTTGTTTTCCATGCTTGCATTGCATCGTTGCCGTTGTGGAATTTTTAATGATTTTTTTTTTTACATTTTCACTTTTCACCTCAGGCGCATGAGCTTTCACAACTGCTGGAATGCAGTGTATTTGTGAAAGTGGTTGAACCAAGCTCTGCAGCTGAATACTATGGCACTAGGGATCTAAAATTGCTGTATCAGAACAGTGGATTGAAATATCACCATGGAGATGTTGAAGTGCAGATCCCAAGAAATGTTGCTCCGAATCAGTGCGAAGAGAGACTTGACGAATTTAGCTCAGAGAGCACTCCTCAGCGGACAAAGTGTTTTGTAGAAGGAGACAATATTCAGACTGAGCACGAGAATGAGTTTTGTAATGATAATCAAACTGTCAGCAGTGATGATGATGGTGATGATGCCTTCGAAATTTTAGAAAGTGATGAACAAGTTACAGCTCAGGAGAAAAAAAATGAAAGACACACTGATGATATGGTGTCATGTACAGAGAAGGCTGTTGATGCTACCTCAGAGGGTAGTCATGATGATGGTGCTGACAGAAATCGTATTGGTGCTTTTGTCGAAGAAACCATTGATATGTTGCAGGCAGAAGATGGGGGAGATAGTCAGAATGTAGCTGTAAAGATTGAAGATAAGGTTGTTTTTGAGAATACACGTGATGAGGGAATGGGACTTGTGAAAGAAGAAAATCCAGATCAAGAAGCTGTGTCTGAGTCTGTTAGCGATAGTGTAACAAATACGCAAAGTAATTTTGATGATGGTGATGTTGCTTTCTTGAATAACAAGAATAAGAAGTCTGTTACAGGTGGTGGGAGTACCAGCATCAGTAGTAGAACACGTTCAAAAATTACTTATAACTGCGAGGACTGTAACTCAAGTTTTACCACTTCAAGACACCTTTCAGCACACCTCAAGCGAGCTCACAATTCTAAAGAATATTCCTGCACAGACTGCAATCGAAAATTAAAATGCAAGAACGCATATATTCGTCATATGAAAAATGCACACAGTAAAACGCAGAGCCTATTCTCTTGTTCATTTTGTCAGAAGACCTTCATGTTTAAGTCTATTTTGAATGCTCATGAAAAGTGTCACACAAAACCTTTCCTATGTGATATATGTGGGAAGAGTTTTTCCTCTCGTAATAATTTGAAAACTCATAAAATTTCTAATCTGAATTGTGGTGGTTCTGATGAGTTGCCAACCAAGTGCAGCATATGTGAAGTACAGTTTCAGTCTGTTATTAGTCTTCAAAGTCATATACGAAGCGATCATGGAGGTAACCGGTTCCAGTGTAAAACCTGTGGGAAAGGATTTCGTTACAAGAGTAATCTGGTGAGCCATCTTTTAGTCCATTCAGGTGAGAAACCCTATAAATGTGACTTTTGTGATAACACGTATCAGAGTCTGACTCATTGCAAGAATCATGCTATCAAACACCATGGACAACCTGGGACAATCGCCAAACCATCGGGCAAACGAAAGAAGCCTCAAACTCACAAGTGTGATGTGTGTAATAGAGGTTTCTGTACTAAATCAAACCTGGAAGTTCACAAAAAGACCCACCTTGAAAAGTTGCCATACACCTGTGACATCTGTAAACGAGGCTTCCTACTGCTGCGTAATTTGAATGAACACATGATATCACACGGCAAGGGTGCTGGATGTCAGTGCGATGTCTGTGGGTTATTTTTCAGGAACAGTGCAGCGTTGGGTACTCACAAGCGTACCCACACCACTGACGATCCGACATCTTCTATGTTTGATGACAGAGGAAGCACAGTTCATTTGGATGAACGTTTTAAGTGTAATATCTGCGACAAGGTTTTCCGTCTTAAATGTGGTGTGAAGAATCACCTACTAGTTCACTCTGGCGATAAACCATATAAATGCTCATTCTGTGATAAAGCATACCAGAGTTACACTAACTGTCATCAGCATGAAATAAGATACCATGGAAAGCCTGGCGTGATTCCCAATAACAATGAGAGGAAAAAATTGTCAAAAACTCACACATGTGACGAGTGCGATAGGGGTTTCTGTAGTGAGGCTAATCTTGAACTCCACAAAAAATCGCACCTTGAACAGTTGCCTTTCTCGTGTCACATCTGCAAACGTGGTTTTATTCTGCAGCATAACTTGAATGAACACATGAAAAAGCATGATGAGAAAAGTCAAATTCAGTGCGATACATGTGGGAAGTTATTTATTAATTTCTCTGCGCTCATTGCTCACCAGTTAACCCACAAAGGTAATGAGCCACAGAAGTGTGAACTATGTGCCAAAGAGTTTAGTTCTCTGAATGCATTGAAGATTCATACAGCAGTAATCCATACCAACGTAGGTATTAAACCCCCTAGACGTAAACCTGTGAGAAAACCTAAACTTGACGCTGATGGTAACGTGATACAAAAGAAAGTTCCAATCCTACTGAAATGTGAGCTCTGTACCAAGTCCTTCAAGACTGAGACCCAGATGGGTATCCACCTGGCTAGGCATAAAGGACTTCTTCCATTTGAGTGTGGTGAATGTGGAAAATCCTTCAAGTATGTCAATGGGTTGAAAGTTCACAAATTGAAACATACTGGCGAAAAGCCATACAAATGTGAGGAGTGTGGTGCAGCTTATCAAGGTATGACACACTTGAAACTCCACAAAAAGAAGTTTCATGGGGTCGACTCCAAAGGTTCCGTAATTACAAAAGTGCGGAAGAAAATGCCTAAGGATTACAAGTGTGATTTGTGCGGAAAGGCTTACTCCACAGTGCAAAGTTTAGAAAAGCATCAACTGTGGCACAGTGGCAACTTTCCTTTCTCTTGCCAGGAGTGTGGAAGGGGATTTCTCCTGGAATACAATTACAAGGAACACTTGAAAATACATCGAGGTGAACTGAATCAAAAATGTTCTAAATGTGATAAAGCTTTCTGTAACTTCAGTGCACTGGAAGCTCACACCCGTTCGGCTCACGAAGAGAAGAGCACGTACTTCTGTGAGCACTGTGGGAAAACATTCCATCAACTCACCAGATTAAAATTGCATATTACTTTTGCACATACTAAAAACAAAGAGATAAAATTGTTGCGATTAGCAACTGCGAAGGCCAGAAAAGCCCAAAGAATTGCAGAGGGCCACATCATCACAAAACCCAAAACTAAAAGGGTACGAAAACCTAAAAAGTCTCCTAAAAAAAATAAAGTTGATGTAATAACAGAAGTTGAATCTTGGGTTGTTGCAGAAGATAATCCTGACATCGAGTGTGCGGTGCAAGAAATACAGGAGATAGTTACTGTACCCACCACAACTGAGATAGTGTTGGCAACATCCAATATTGAGACTTGTTTAGTTCCGGAAACAACTGTGCAAATATAAAAAATGAGTGTAAAACAACCTTTATTGACAGAAATAAAATCCAGCTCATTAAAAATTGCTTCTGAAAGTAAGGTAAAGTTGGCCTTATTTTGTTGTTTTTCTGTCATTCTAGAAAGCGTTTCGGATTTTAGCTGGAAACTAACGTGGGTGCTTATTTAAATATTTTTACATAACTGATGAGTTTATCAAAATATTCATAATTGATAGTATGATTATGTTGTTCCAACTTAATGAAACGTTTACATTATTATTTTTATTATTTTGGCTTGCTATGAACACAATTCAGAAGTTACCATAGTCGTGTCTGATTCTGATTTATTTTGCTATGTTGAGATTAAGCAATTTCTTGTTCAGACAACCATAAAACAGATGCCCACCAAACCTAAAAAGTCTGTGATGTTGAACTCTGTAAACATGAGTAATCCTTTTATATAATGATGATGATGATGTGCTTCACAATTCAGTTTTAGTGTAATGTATCTCCTATTTTGACTGGTTGACTAATTTCTGATACCTACATGTATGATATGGATTTCCATGCCATTTGGTTCTCGCTGACAAATGTTAGTAATGTTACTTTGAGTTGACTTCTACTTTATTCATTTTATAGTCTGGAAAGCAAGTAAGACTTTGTGAAATGTCAATACATATTGATATATGTAATTATTATTCCTAATGGACATACAAGCATATCAATACTTTTACTTTGATTACTGTAAAATATTTAATTTTCGCTTGAAACCAGTTTTCGCTATTTTCGCTGAAGGAATGATTCGGTGAAAATTAAATCCAGCGAATATACTGTTTTTTTTCCTATATTTTACATTCAAAATCAGTGAAAATAAAATCCACAAAAAACACCCAAAAAGTCTTTGCAGTGAAAATTAATTCCAGCTAAAATAAAGTATTTCACAGTAATAAGTTTGTGTTCATGGATGTGATTTGAATACTAATCACCTGTTCCATGACACTTGAGTATTGTAGAATGAAGAATCTTTCTTTTTCTTTTTACATGTACATGTACATAGTTTTGATCTAGAATTTAGGTACTTGGGGAAAAATTACTCTTTACATAATGTATTTCACTATAGGTATTTACTGCATAGTCTTTTTGTTTCACAGATACAGAAATGGTATTTGTGGGAATCCAATGTTCTATTAATAAACAAATTCCTGGTTTAATGTTTTTGTTCTACAAGAAGCACATATAAACCCAAAATCATATTTGTTGTATGTTGATTCATTAAAATATTATTTTGACCATAAAAAATCTCTGTAATTTACGAAGCATATGTTACTACTACATTTAATAGAGCAAATGTTGTACAATGTTGTAAACTGTTAATACTATTGATTCTGTATTAATAAAATAATTGACAACCATCTATTGTGTATTAACTTGTTACTCGAAGACTCAAACCACATAATGGTTGTCTTTTGTAGGTAGTGTGTCTGTTCCACTGATATCTCAAGATATTGATGAAACTTGGTGAATATAAGTTCTGGGATAAACCACTGTACTAATCAGTTTTGTTTTGAAATCTGCGTATTAATTATCTAATTTGCATAACATTTCCTTTTTTTTTCCCTGATCCTTTTTTGTTTATATTTCGTTATGCATCATGGGAATGGAGAGGTACCCGATATGCATGTACTGCATACTGAATGGGCAAAATGCATTAATCTCGGGGATCAGCTCTCAAAATGTGTGTTTTTAAGTTGATATTTCATTCAAGCTGTAATATCTGAAGTACTGAACTGCAATTTGAAATGTGTAACCACTGCTATCAGGAAGGCATCAGACAAGATATGGCTAGCATATCAAATGACATCCTCATTACTATGCATAATTCTGATTCTAGAGAAGATGCAGATAGACAAGTGCGACCAAAGGTATTGACAAAAGATGTGCCTAACATAGATATTATATATAATCATGCAGGGGTTTTCACTGCAATTCAGCGGCACCACCAAGTGGAGAGATGGGGTTCTCCCTACCAGGGTGGGGAATTTTTGATAATTCTAAGTTAAAATGGAGCATTCTATGGCTTCCTTGGGGCCAAAATTAGTATCAGACAGGCCACATGTGATCCCTGGTCATTCAGAATTTTATGGTTGCCAGAGGATCTGCTCTCCAGGGCAAGGGGGCACATGGCCATGGCATGAGGGCGCTTTGCCCCTGCTCCCTTGTTTAAAAAATCCCTGATCATGTGACCTCATTCATATGCATAACTAATATCAAGTAATACTATAATTCAAGCACTGGACAAGAGATATGATTAACGTATGACCTCCATAATGTAGGCTAAGCCAAATTCAAATGTTGCACGACTGAGTATGTTACTGAACAAATACGCAATGCATTATGGGAGAGAATTATTTTATATAATTGAAAACCATTATCATCGTGGAAACTAATTGCAATTGAATGTAAATTTTTTGAAATGTTTTAACAATATTGCAATTTGTATATTAGAGTACAAGCTAAAATATAAAAATACTAAAATGTTTGATCTAATAGACAACTCACAGGTTTCAATATCATGTCACTATTTTGTGCCAAGTAAAAATAAAATCTGCTGTATCAGGCATGTAATAATCCCTAAAATCATTGCACCATTAGATGCTGTCTATGAACGCACGATTTTGAAAAATCCACGAATAATAGACTAGTGAAGTGGTCTGAAGTGTTGTGGGTGGACATTATGTAGGGGACAGTCAGCGGTCAGTGATGACACAGAATTCTGTGCCGAAGATGTAGTAATCATATTGCGAATCACCAGACCATTCTTGAGTGTAATCTTAATAACTTTATTCTATGTTACAGATATACATACAAGCTGGTAATGTAATCTGAAAATATTGACCATCTAAAATTTCAGCCAGTCAATCCAAAACAAATATTTTCACATTATGAAGTGAAATTTCATATTAAAGCGGGGGAGTCGTCAGCTGTGCATGCGTCAGATGGCCATAGCGTGTCATTGTTTACAAACAAGTGTCTACCCATGAGCCTTTGCATTTTTAGCATGTTTTCTTATCGTCGCTTGGGACTCAATTCCCCCGCGTGCATAGATGAAAACCCTCCCGCTTTAAATCATCAGCATTGAGCATTGAGCACATGGGGTATTGACCAATCGCATAAGTGCTTCAAAATGCCATTGCTTTTTTTAATAAAGTGGGTAGGGGTGTGAAGCCCACCTCTCGCAAACCATACTCACTTCTAAACCATTTTTTTTCTATTTATATACCAACTTCTAAGTGTTTCCAGCGAAAAAAAAAAAAAGCTCACAACTTTCGCAACCTGTGAGCACATCCGGGCGATGCATTTTATTCAGCCTTTTCCGGTATTTGGCTTTGAATATAAGGACCTGTGAAAAAGTAAATAAATGCTACACACTTCTAAACCAAACCATTGATAAATGACCACCCACTTCTAAACAAAATAACGTGAAATGACACCCCAGTCGGGCGGCACATACCCGTATTGCACTTCTATGCAAGTAGCCACCCCCCTCCCCCCGGGTCGCAGCTTCTATTAAAATGGTACAATGCAACAGAGGGTATGCGGCGTCTACATAGATAGATAGATAGAATTTTTTATTTGGAACGTACCAATGAAATCTTGAGTAAAGTCCAAAAATAACAATAACAAAACATTCAGAACAACAAAAACTTACAGTATTAAAACATATGAAGAATATAGAAAATAAATTTTGCAAAAATGCTAAGAATGAAAAAATCATTACTTGAAACAATAATAGGAAATAATTCATCCATGCTAAAATCTTCCAGCTTTGGGGCATAGATGTATAAAGCTGCAAGGAATCTAGATCTTTGTTCTTTGATTTGACAATTATTACAATATAAAATGTAATGTTTCTCATCCCCTACTTCATTGCATTCATGGAGATTACATAGCCTGTTTTCCTTCAAAATGCCTTTATGTCTACCGGATTCAATGGGAAGAAAATGTGTAGAAGTTCTAAATTTAGTATAAGCTATTCTATGATTTTTATTTTTAATTTTTTCCAAATAATGTTCAAATTCAAAATTTTCTTTAGCACACCTGTAAAAGTCAAGTTTACATATATGAGAAATGAGGAATTTTTGGTTCTCAATCATTCGAAAAGAATCATTGCGGTTTTTATTCAGATTTTATGGTAGTACTCGTAAATAATTAGCTAATAAAATAATTATTAGATAAAAGATGATTTCACTTAGAATTGGCACCCATTACGTCGTAGATGATAAGGCTTTGTTGCCAGTTATTTTAGAAGGATAGAGCACAGATAAAAACAAAGAAAATTTAAGTTGAACTGTATGAGGGCATACCATTGTGTGATGTGAGCAATGTTGCCTGTGGTATTTAAAATGAAATAGTATATCGCTATGACAACACAGTGCACCATGAAGATTGCTACTGATAAAAATCTTATCTAGTTTGTATCTGAAAACCAGACCTTCAAACAAATTTACAAATGTAGGATTTTATAAAACTCCACTTGCATGACAACAATAAATGGTTATTTAAAGGCAGATCTCAAGATCATTTCACGAAATGAACGACATCGCTTTGGCCAGGAGTTTGGATTTACATGAAACGTGTGATAAATGCCTTGTTTATAAATACAATGCTTTTCACTGAATAGAACAAATAATTTTCGACCACTATTGAAATATAGAAATACAGAGCAAATTATAACTAGTGTTCAGCTGTGTTAAAAGGACAGAATATTATTATAAAAATGAAATAACACATCCTATTACAGACTTTTAAGTGAAGCAAGCCAACTCCATTTATCGGCTTTGATTCGTTCCTTGTTCCATGAGCCTTTGCGTACAAGACTCATGGGTCATGGGACAACATGCGAGTTTACTCTCAACCCTCCCTGTTTTTCAAAATTGTGCACCCCGTATGTTAGTGCGCCCTCTGAGTCACCAAAGCTAGAAGAAATTTACATACCGCTATATAATGTGGAAGATTCAGCTGGAAAGAAGCATTCTGGAAAGCGGTTCGAGTTGAGACGGTTGGTGTATTTTTCCCCTTCTCAATTGAATTTCAAGAAGATCTCGCGTTCAACTTTGCAGATTTATCAAGTACACGTCTGACTTGATGTTTTAATAACCAAGGCAAGTATACCTAAAGATAGAGAAATGAATAGTCCCGTTTGTAACGTCGTTGTTGTGTGTTGGCAAGCCGCGCCTAGGTCGTGGCATTTTTTGACCGGCTGCACTCCATTATATTCCGAATTTACGAAGTCAACTTTTTGATTTAACACTACAAATGTGTGTAATGATGAACGATTTTATATCATTTTCTTGATTAACCATGATTGTTACCTTGGAGAACTGAACACACGTGGCTTTTTTGTCGGAGCAGAGCACCTCGTGGAACCCGAAGACCACGTGGTCTTTCGCAATATGCCACACACGTGGTCCAGTAAGATAATTTGCTCCTTCCTAGACCTCGAAAATATTCACTACGTTTACGTTATTATTCAGCACAATTTCTACTCGTTTTTTTTTATTTTGCCAACTGTCTGGTGCTTTAGTAGTCTTACTACAATGAAAAGTTTACAGGGCATTCACTGTACATTGGTAACCTTGTGAAATTTCTTAGAGTAATGAACGGATAATTAAATTGAGCACAATTATTTTCGTAGGTTTTAATGACTATTGAACGCCTTTTAAAGACGTGCAGAATTGCGAATTTGGCAGCTATGTCGTTCATAGACATAAATGGAAGTCGACGTAAGTAACTAGTCTTTCTCTCATGAACTTGTCACTTGATTGCGCTTCAGATTGCAACACTATGGTTTCTGGAATTGCAGCTTTCTCACACACCACGTGGCGAGTTGGCACAATTAGTGCCTTGCTTTTATCTCTGCCATCCCATCCACAAATAACTGCTTGAAAATCATATGCGTTACACCTGCATGCAGATTTTAATAAATGAAAACCTGTCTAACATTGTTAAGACTATCCATGGTCTGTATCAACTTACAAGTACATGATAAATCGTAGAGCCTGTGTATGTTGCAGAAGCTTGGCAATGATGAAACAATTCCAAAACATTC